GATCATAAAGCCCCCTGATCCCTTTCTTTGTCTTTCATCCCCCCTGAACAGAATAAGTAAGGCCCCGTTCTTTCTAATTAAAAAAAAAAAAAAAAGAAAATAGGGGCGAAGCGCCCGTTTGAAGTGGCGAAGGCCTATGCTAAAGTAAGAAAGAAAGTACGTTAAGGTTACGAAGTCACTTAGTCGAACTATAAAGTAAAGAAAGGGAGGCTAAGCTTACGAAGTAAGGTAAGCTGGTTAAGGAAAGCTCAGGTTATGAAATCGCTTAGCCGTTAATTAATTAAGTAGTAGTGAGGCGTCGGTACGGAGTTGCGTCAGCTGTAGATATAGACTAGGCTAAGGGACGGACTTCATCTCTTCTATTCTCTTTACTTACACCTTACACTTCCGCTGAGTCTAACGAGGCTCAGGTTCGGAGCCTTCCACTGTGGACCGAGACTACGCAAAGGTAGAACACCATAGAAACTTCGCTGACTTTCTCATAAACCTTGATTTCGCTACGCTCAATAAGAACCCGGAATAGCGGAAATCGGTTCGTGTTCCGCTTCCAAAGTAAGTTGTCTTTGCCCAAGTGCGAACTGCAGACGACTCTCCAGTGGTTCCATTCCTTCTTACTTTACTTTTGGGTCACAACCCAACCCGAATGGGAAGAAGAGGGTCAGCCACACAGCGGGCAGCTCCACTTTGTACATTTTCTGAGGCAGACCAATCAGGTTTATAAAAGGGAAGGGAACTTATCACCGAAGGAGGCAGTAGGAATGAAGGAGGCGGGAAGCTACCGCTTCTAGAATGCAAGCTTATCCTTTACTTTTTTTTAGAGCGTACCACTATTGAAATAATAAAAAAAGGTTTATGGATGAAGTAATCGGAGTGACAAATGGTTACGGTTGCGGAAACCGGAGAAAGTCGGGAACCGTCGGTTACCTTTTGAATCAAAGTAGCGACGAGCCGAGTACTATGACTACAGGGGGGGGGGAGCAAAGCTTCGTAGACAGCTTCGCTTCCTCGTCGCTTCTTTCTGGCGACTAGCTTCTCAAGTGGGTGGCTTGGTAAGCAAGCTACCTTCAGCATCGGTAAAATCCCTATAATAGGCCGGAATGGTGGGGAAGGGGGCCCTCCCTACTTCAATGGAAAGGGGGGAATCGCCGTTTCACAGCCGCTCCTCTACAACTACCTTTCGCCTAACATGATCACGAACAAAGACAGAGAATTGCGTAGATAGGAGGAGGAAATGAACCAACCCACTTGTCCTGATCGGAACGATTGAAGAAAGAGAATGGTGGCCCCTTTCGCCCAGGGGACATCACAATGTCGGGGACAGGGCGAGAACCTTCCGTTGGTTACGCCCTTTAAGGGTGCCATATTTAGATATGGAGATAGATCCAGATAGAGATCTATATCTTTCTATCTATCGATAGAAAGATATATTGAGAAATGGATATTGATCTGGTTTCAAGATCTATGAACAAGAGAGATCCCTAAATATCCATTTGAAAAAAGAGATGAATAGATAGGGCGGAGCCAGCTGAAGGAAGGTCGCTAACGCGACCCTGAAATCTTTCTAAAGCAACAAGCGAGAAACTTGACTTTGAGAAAGAAGCGCCAAATATTCTAATATTTGTAAAGGCGCGTTAGCCTATCTATAGTAAGGGGCCTTTTCTTGCTCGTTAGCGCCCCCCTACCCCTATTTAGTTTAGTCATAAAGGAACTCAAGGAAAGCCTTTTGACAACCTTACTAATAGAAAGGGGAAAGATGCGCTCAAGCATGCGAAGAAAGCTCTTCGAGCTTCCCTTATCAACTATTATAGAATATAGAAAGGTTTGTAGAAAGGGGCTTCTTCAAATATCCCATAAATAAAGTAGGGGCTTCAAAGCTTGTAGTTTAAGGGTGCGAAAGTTTGGAACCCTATACAAGGGGCTAGCGCGCAATGGCTTTCTCTGATAGGGGCTCGCTCCGCTTGCTGCTTTTCATTTTGATAGGAGTAGGTGCTTGCTGCTCGCTTGCTGTCTACTAAACGAGCCTTCACTGCCCGCCCGGCTCCTATCTTGAATCTTAAGTAAAGTGAAGTCAAATCAATGAAGTGAACAGCCCAACCTCTTTGTTTGAAGCTTTTCCAGGAAGCTTCTACTTGTTGAAGCTTTTCTTCCCCTAATTCCAAAACACAACAATAGACTTGCAACTATAGTATAGGAAAAAGCTTCTCTTTGATAGCGGTCATAGGGGGGTTCAGAAAGGATCTGATCGTAGATAGAGACTGAAACCTGTGCGGGGGTAGGGGCGGATGTAGCCAAGTGGATCAAGGCAGTGGATTGTGAATCCACCACGCGCGGGTTCAATCCCCGTCGTTCGCCCATCAATAAATGGACCATTTGTTACGGAGACACAAGACAAACGCATTTTTTCTGCAAGTAATCTCGAGGCTTTCAAACGCATCCAAGCAATTGGTATCCGATTGAAACATAGAAACCATAGATTCGCGTCGCCTACTTGCTGAAAGCACAAATGGAATGGCTGATCATTCATTGTATGAAGTTTTTAAGACCTCACTAATCAGCCTTCAACTTTTGAGTTCATAATGAATGAAATGAACCCCCGGATGAAGAGAAAATCTCCCCTCCCTTTTTTTGTATTAGTTCATTTTCCGTGTTAAGCCTTTCCATCAAGTTATTGAAGAAGTTACTCCTTTCCAGCGTCCCTAGACTATATGGATGTCGTACTTGTTCCGACTCCTAGTTCTACTTATGTAATTTCCCAGCCAGTAAGTAAGTCAACAGTAGCTCTTCCATAAGTCCCTCAAGAGCCTACTTGCACGGATGAGCACTAAGAACCCTTGGTATCGCAGGAAGTGTCCCCGACTCATTATCAGAAAGAGTAAGCATTCCATCTCCATCCTTTCCCGTACCCCTTTTCCTGATCTTCTTTCCGGATCCAATATTGCTTTTGAACCCTCACTTGAGATACTACCCCTTTCCGTAACTGATGTCCTTCCTTCGTTATACCCTCTTTTGATTTTCCTCGTCTCCCTCTCTTCCCGCTCAATTTGTTTACCGTGCTGATTAGACCCTTAAGAGGTGGATCAGACGAAGGATGAAGATCCCTTTTTGAATCTTTTTTTATTTCCTGGTGTAAGACTTGTAAGCGTTAGCACCTGGTTCAGACAGAGCATAAGTAGGCGAGCTAGATGAGAACCGGCCGGTAATGAAAGTGGATTCTTTCTATTAAAGACTTGTCTTCGGCTCTTCAAGCTGTCCTAGTTACGAAAGCATCTTTCGATCGATGAAAGGAAATGTTCTTTTCATAACCATTATCCAAGGCAGACAGACATTCTGTGGTATCATTAGCATTAGCCAAAAGCTGTCTGTGATTCTATAACAATAGAATTCTACATCAGTAGAGGATGCAGCGGAGGTTGTAGTTTCTCTCCCAGGGACTGATTCTGGAAGAGAAGTTGGCACTGTAGAATCAACATTTGAATAAGCGCAGACGAATCATACGCCTGCGAATAAGCAACTGAAGTATCCGCCTTTAACTCTTCCGTGGCTCTATAGCCGGCAAGGAAGAAGGATAGAGAGGGTAGGGTATTTTACAACAATTCAAAGCCAAAGTCTGATGAAGCTGACAAGCGAGAGCCCGATGCCGGTGAGTCAGGTAGGACAGAGGAAATGAATTCAACAATTCCATGAGCGGTGGTTGGAGCGGACCTTTCCGTAAGGGAAGGCGTGGATCCTCGATCCAAGTCTCGTCTTTTGAGTGACGATGTTCTTTCAGTTTTGGAAGCAAAAGTAGAATCTTAAGCAGCAGATACCACTAGAGAAAAAGCAGATGAAAGATATGCTTAAACAGAATAATCCTATCTTTCATCCACATACATAGCATACGCATTTGAATCCGCAGAATCATAGGAATCAGAAGAAGCTGCCACTAACACATCTGTAGAAGCAGACAAGGAAGATGCCGTTGAAAAGGGTAGGTTCAAGCTTGAGTTCCCCCTTTTTAGGATGGGGTTTCAGTTTCAAAAATTCTTTTTTTTCGTGGAATGATGAAGCAAGACCATGCCTTTATAGGAAGGGCGGTTTGCTCGGCTTGGGATAAGTCTTCAAAAACTCAAAAATAGAGATCTGAGCTGGTAGCTTGCTAAGATGACCAAGGAGGTCATATTCAGACTGCTTTTCTGCCTTCTTGGTTTGATCTGGAGCAGCTTCTTCTTGGCTCTCAGGTTGAGAAGCCCTTGGGTAGATCCTTGCATAGTCTATTCCTGTTCGAGTAGCTAGAATCTCGGTCGGCCTAGTCTTCTCTGTAGGTGCGTCGGTGACCTCGATCATCCTTTTTCTGGAAGTAGAGGATAAGGGGTCTTTTGGAACTTTTTCGGCTGATGGCTCGTTTCGGGTGACTCGAGGAGCAACCGTCGATGTAGTCAATTTGTAGAATCTTCTCTTTTGAAGGCTTGATGTCGATGCATAATGGCTTGCTTTGACGAATCTTCTGAGGCCTCGTCGATCGGGTTGGAATCGTCACATGCCTCGCAGACATGCAACTCTTCCTTCCCCTTTTATTAGTTATAGGAACTCTTTAACGTAGTCAAATAGTATGTTTTTGCCGATACGGAAAGCTAGTCTTCTTATTTAAGTAAGATAATTCCTAAGCTAATAAGAGCTCCTTATCAGCAGGAACCCTTTTCTATTCCGAAAAGAAGTTGTTTGAAAAGAGGTTGTTCTAGCAGCGTATTCTCGGCATAAGTCTGGATGGCTGCTCTCTTTCTAAACAGGAAGAGGAAGGGGGAGGGCATTTCTTTAAAAGAAGGAAGTCATTCGTGGACTGATTCCGACTGATTATTGGACAGATGACCCTTTGCTATAGACCAATTTCCAGAACAGCGGAAATGAGCCATCTGGCGGCAGTCATTGCAAGGAAGAGGTTAGGGCTTTCTTTAACAGTGTGATTCAAGGCAATGCAATTTTCAACTTCTCCCAGGTTTTTTCACTCCTAACCCCAGCTATTGAGGAATCTAGCTCCCCTTATCCTTCGTAGAAGTCTGGAAGCAGGAAAGATTCTTCTTCTTCGGTATTCAACCCGAAACCGGCAGATGGCCAGTGACCCAAGAAAACAAAGGAATCGGTTACATTTTTCAACGGTATAACAGTAGCTACGCTAGCTCAGTACGAAGCTATTTTGGTCTTCCGACATCCCGGTGGCTCTAAACAAGATCAGTTAAAGCTTCTAACTCGAAGGAAAAGAACCGTGGAACGATTTAAGAATGCCCTGTAGCCATCCAGACGGAGGAATCCAGGCGCAAGTCCTGGAACACGGCTGGGAGAAAGGTCGCAAAGAGAGCCTTTTGCCGATAAGCAAGTCAAGTTTCATAACGAAAGCGAGATCGATCATAAAATAAATAACTGCTCCCAGGATGTTGAAATCACCTTAGAGATATTTGGCATGGAACATAGATAGGTGCCTGGCAGCACATCTGGTTACCGTACAAGGACAGAATAGTGGGGTATGCTTAATGAGATAGGTGACCCTTTTTCGTTTTTTCATGGTGATACCTTTCGCTTCTTCTGTCAGCTATTGCCCTTGGGCTTGGTTCCGTTCAACCATCAAGAAAGCATCAACCGGATTCATTGAACTGAAAAAGCATTTCTCTTTCGACAGAAAGCCTTTATCGCTCGAGCTGAAACAATTGAATCACCCTCTGGTCCGGGAATAGAGTCAGAACTGATAGCCATTTCCCCTTTCTCTGGGTATTTATTAGTGTAGGTGGTTCTCCCGTGGTAAGCTATATTACTACTGGCTTGGCTATTTCGAAAGAAAAGGATTCGCTTTTTCGGGTGATTGAACTAAACAAAGAATTTAACTAAGTGGCCTTGCTTCTTACCCCGTAGTGGGATATTTTTTTACAATCGATCGTAGATTCCCTGGCTTGGCTAGGAACCTAGTCCCTTCTTGTGACAACAGAAGAGAAGAAATTGCCTTTTTCCTCTCTTTTTCGCAGATTCCTGGCTTGGGTCCCTTCTTTCGCCTTCAAGATGCATTGCTTCGGTCTTCTTTGAGTGAGATAGACTCAGATTCCAGTTCTACCATGGGCGTAGCCTCAAAGCTACTTTTTCCGTAAAGAAGTGGTGCCCTTGATTCTAGATAAGTAATTGGTTTGCTAGTCTTCCATCTATCGGGATATCTTCTTACCTTCGGACTTGACTCTTGATTAAGCTCTTTGATGGGCAAATGCCAATAGTTCAGATATCCACGAACACAGAATAGGAGATGGGGCATTGTCACATGAAGAAGAGTAGGCTCAGGCGAGAGAGATTGAATGAAAATAGAAGTCAGGCAAGGAACTTTCAACAGGCATGGTACGAACCAGGCTCTAAGAAGGAAATCGGCATTAGCCAAGTCCTAGTTTTCTACCTTTCTTGGGATTGTTTCGTGCTTTGATTAGGAGACAAAAACCTATATATCGGCCATTCTCCGCATCTCTCTTCTATGCGCATAGAAAGAGAAAGAAGAAAAATTCCTCAAGATACCCTTTTTGTGGGCAAGTAGGGTGAAGCTATGTGTCTCGTCCTCTAGCTATAGCTCTCAAGCCAGCCCCCCTAAGCTGATCCTAAGTGTCTGTGTCCACAGTCAACCTTCGTCTTGCTATCTGATTCAAGCTCTGAACCAAAGAAAATTCTTTTCTCTATTGTACCCTCATCGACATCTCCTTACGCTGATTCAATAGCAGCTGGGTCGTGAACAAGAGCTGAAACACGTTCAAGCTCAAGGCTACTGGTTTTGTCATACTCTATTCTATTTTTTTTGACTCTCGAGTTACTGGCTTTCCTTTCGAGCAGACTAAGAAGAAGCCCACGGAGCGGTAGCAGCTACGACTTCTTCCTTCTGTTCTGGGCCCAAGTCCAATAGCAACGGATTCTGTATCAGCAAACCATATTTAACCGGGTGTTCCCTCTTTGTTCTAGCTTTCTAAATAAGTCAGATCGGTGCGGGAAAAACTCCTAAATCAGTCAATCCGGAAGTTCCTGCCTTCCCCAGAGTTCTTCCTTATAAGAGGGTTGGCACAAAAGCAGCAGATATTGAAACTAATAGCAAAGAAGGCTAGGCTCCTCGAACCAGATTCTATTATATCTTCTACCGTAATTCGCTAATCTCGATGAAAGGTAACTACATAAGGCAGCTTTCCTCGCTCTGTCTTCTCTACGATTTACGAGTACTTACTTGTGCACGGAATCAAACAAGAGGAGGTTGCCTGATGGGACGTCGGCCTTTGCTAAGGACTTTGCCGAGTTGGGTTCTATTAATAAGGAAATTGCCAGGTAAGATGCTGACTTTGCCGGGGCCCCTCTCTTCTAGTAGCCGCCCCTCCTCCAAGAATGGGAGCCCACCAAGAAGGTGACTGAGTCCAGATCCTTCCTTGGGTTCCTTGGTTCACCTGTGTCGCTTTGGCTTAAACCAGGGAAAAAGCTATCAAAAGGGCA